AGTAGGTTTAACAGTGTTATTTAGTTCACCAACGACCGCAGTTCTATTTCGCATTTTTTGTTAAAAAGCAAGGGCTCGGCATAAGTCGAAAAACAGCGTTGAGCACCATCAAGGGTGCTTCAATGCAGTCTATGTAGGTTTTTGAATAAAGTTTCGTTGTGATGCTCAGATGTTTGAGACTAATTGCAAAATTCTGTAGAGCCCATTCGTAATCTCCCTTCAAGCACTCGAAGAGGGTAAAAGCCTTTTGGTGTTGATCAATCATGTATGAGGAAGGGCAGTCTGCTTCAGCTTCAGATATCCCGGCTCGTGGCGGACTTCACTGCTTCCTGAAACAAAGTTGGAATGTTCGGCTGACCCGCCATTCCTCTTTTAGGAATTTTTTTTATACATTTTCGACTAAGTAATCGTGTAAAGACAATGTTCAAAACAATGCGGGAACAACAAAATCTGACAGAAAGCCCAAAAAAAGGGAGCTCGCGTGAGCATAGCACAATGCAACTGGTGCTCCATAGACGATCCTGATCTCTTCCCTCAGTATGATCACCCATTGAAAATTTATCACTCTTCAAAGGGTGATCGTGGAAGAGTGATAAATTTTCAATTTCACTTTATTGAGTATACTGAAGCAGTTACATTTCTGTAATTGAGCAACCTGTCAACCACAAACCTTCTAATCTGCAGAATGCTACAATCACGCAACAGATTTAACCTTTCTGGTGTGAAGGTAGTTGTAGGGAACACAACACTGAACCCTGCATCTTCAAGGAAGGCAAGAGCGTAGAGAAGAATCGGGCGGGCACTGCCTTCGCAGGTTCCCAGTGATGCTCAGGAACAGTTCTGAAATAGCGTGATCGAGCTTTTCTAGCAAGTGTGAGGGAGTGTGGAGCAAGAGGACGGATAATGTGCCGACCTCGTGCAAAAGACGGAAACTGAAAAGGAATGGATCCAAAAGGCGCCATCCAAATAAGAGCAAGCAGGCAGGCAAGAGCTCAAAGACGAGGGCCTTCCAACACACCCTGATCAAGTATTCATCTCAGATTGAAAAAGACATTCAGACTCGAGGTGAGATTATGCCATGATGTTCTAATGTTCAGTGTGCTGGAAATTCAAATAAATGGAATCTGGCATTTTTGCGTCCTCGTCTGCGCTCTCTCAGCGAAATGGTGTCACGCTGGTCGAATCGTCTTCCACTCAACCATTCTGCATGAAATAAACATTTCACTGACCCCGGCGCTGTCATTCTAACTAGGCTTGAACAAAAAATTCCATCCCGTCAGCCCAGAATCGTGGAAGAAACCAGGTCAGCCATCCTTGATCCAGTGACACTGAGCGAAGAAAAGCCTCATTCAATCGATGCAGTTACATATGAATGGTGTTGAAGTGAACAAGCATTTAGAAAAGGAAGAGCTATGCAGCGTACCGATTAGGTAAATAAAGTCGACTAAAAACAAATGACCCGAGAAATGGTATAGACTGAGGAATTACAGTGGCAATTTCTGTCCTTACGTTGCAAGCATTGGTGGGATTTGAAAACAACAGTTTTCCGTTGAGCTTCATTGACCCTTGCAATATTCCCTATTGCTCCAATATTTCTTTTCATTCCAAGTATCCTTTTCAGCCCCCCACTTTATGATTCATAAGCTCACTTCCTTATTCCAAATGCCTAACCACTTCACCACAATGCATGATTGCACTATTTTGATATAGAATCGGACACTATTATTCCTTATCACCAATAAGTTGATAATGTTTGAAGCCACGAATGCGAACATAGCTTTGTGCACCGTATATCACCATCATCAGCGAGACAAAACCCAAACAGCGTTTGGGGCATTTGGCCCAGTGAATGAATGGCGACGTGGCCTGCGAAGAAGGAAAGTGCGCTCCAATCGGTGCGCTGCTTCTCTGCACCCTCGTCCCGCCCACTCTAAAAGGTATATAAGGGGGACGCCAGTGCTGTCGTCGCTCTCGCCTTTTCATCTTTCCGAGAAAGTGGAGCAATAAAAGCACAAAGACAAGAGGGTGGGTCCCATGTCGATGTTAATTGTTGTTTGGGGAGATGGATCGTTTGCTGATAAGGACGGTAACTATGTCGATAAACAGGCGACGCCTCAAATAAAAGTTGTGTCTCTTTACAGTTCTCAAGTACACCACGAAATATGTAACAGCAGAAACAGATACGAACGGGAATATGAGAGCTAAATCCACACCAACATTTGAGGGGATTGTGTGAGTGGGACCACAAAGTGGGCGCTAAGAAGAAAGGGTTGGAATGAATAGTGGCTAGATCAGTGAAGAATGAACGAAGTTTGGTGGCACCACCTATACGAAAACCGGCATTTTCCAATTTCATAATGCCTGCGACAAACCGATACCGCTGAAAACGTAGTCAAAGTGGTCACATTTTATTTCGCTTCGTTTTAGCTCTTTGTCTGCGCTCTCTTATTGAGACAGTGTTGTACTGACCAATTTTTCTTCCATTCCAATCTTTCGCTTAAAGTAACAATCCCGTTCCACCTCTATCTTCCCTTGCTTAGGGTCATACCACAAACTCCATCGCCCTGGCTTAGAATCGTTCCTAAATGCCGTTACAGAATTGCAAAACAGGGCCTCCAGAATCGTATGAAAAATTGGATGAGCCATCCTCAATTCTGTGACAATGAAGGAAGACAGAGAAAAAGCTCATCCAATCTGGGCAGCCACATATATTGTTGAAGTGGAGATACATTCAGAAAAGAAAAGGCTGTGCAGCGTTCAGAAAAGGCATATGAAATCGACTGAAAAGCAAATGGACCGAACAGCATTGGAGACTAAGGATTTACAGCCGCAATTTTTGTCCTGACGTTGCAAACATTTGTGAAGTTTGAGAACAGCAGTTTACTGAAGATTTGTCATATGCTTCCAACAACGCTTGCAATATCCTTCATTACTCTAGTTACTTCAACTGCAACACAGTTAATAATTGCGATGATTGTATACAGGCCTCATCACTATCATTTCTTATTGTCAATACGTCAATAATGTCCGAAGTCATAAATATAAACAGCCTTGCTCACTATGTACCTTATATCAAGAACATCCTTAAAAAAACATCAATTCTCATCAAGGCATTCGATCCACTAAATAAACCGCGGCGTGGCCCTCGGCCAAAGAAATTGCGCCCCAATCGGTGCTCCCCTTCTCTAAACCCTCCTCTTCTCTCGCAGCCCCGCCCTTTCCGAAACGTATAAAAAGGAAGCGCAGGTGTGTTGAATCGGTCGATGAGCCAATCTCTCTATGACGAGATTAATAATAGAGACAAAAGAAAGGATTAAAAGGGGGTATGTTTGTGATGCGTCGGTCATGCGTCGGTCATGTAGCAGTGGAATTATTCGCCCAGCATCTATTACGTCGAACACTTACTTCACCCATAGGAGGCTTGAACAACATAGTGCCGTCAATTACCCTGATATTTTACAGAAGTTTCGATAAGCATCTATGACGTTTGGTGTCCCATCACAACACAAGACAAATCACAAAATTTTATTGAAACATTAATTATTACTCCATCACAGTCAAGAACCAGAACATGAGCATGTAACGTAGAAAGTAAGAATGAGAACAAGAGATCAAACACTGAATGGGAAACCCACAAAACGAACACAGACAGTTCGGCAATCAGTAGACCAGTATCTGCCGCAATCTTGAGCGCATGCCCATTGCTGGTGACCACACGGTTGACCAGTCCATACTCCGGCTTGCTGGCCCCATCCTGCTTGATCTCCCCATCGGCTGCTTTCATAGTCCGCCGGCCGGCCGGCCGGCCGGCGTGCCGGCGGGGAGGAGGGAGGCAGACGGATAGGCAAACAGTCCACGCCCCTCCGAGGGGTTCAAAACAAACAACCTTCGAAGGGGCGTGGACTGTTTGCCTTACACTGTCTGCCTCCCTCCTCCCCCCTAGCACTGCCTCCGCCGGCACGCCGGTCGGCCGGCGGACTATGAAAGCAGCCATCCTTGTCGCTGTCCATATCCTCCATAACTTTGTTGTCCATAACCTCTTCCTCGAGGTCCACCGTAACCTGCAATTATAGGTTTGCAGTTGTGGCACCTTAGAAGGGTGATTGTAAGAAAATCTAGATACTAGCAGAAGCGAAAAAGAAAGCGGTAGACCTCAGTCATCAACAACAGAACTCACCGTAACCACCTTGTTGTCCGTAACACCCACAGACTTGTTCACCCCAACCCCCTGGCCATCCTCCAGCAGCATCACCACGAGATCGACCCATGCCGTACACGCGGTCACGAGGTTTTTGAGCCTGATCATAAGTTATGCGTTGACTTTATCGCGTATAAAACAGCTCCCAACAAACTGCAAAACTGACTACTTTGATCATTTCGTCTAATGAAAGCCCTTTCTCACCTTCACGACATCTCCATACATTCTAAAGTATTCAGTGAACATCTGTTCCGTGTGATCCTCACGAACCCCACTTACGTACAGACTCTTGGTGGACACATATGATGTGTCACGGTCCTTACTGTCCGTGGACATGGCTCCCTCAAGATTAACAGTTTTGCCATTAATAACGTGGGGGCGGGCAGCAATTACCTCTCCAACGGCTGCTTCTGGTTGATCGATTTCTTCCGTTTTCACCTGGATCTGAATCATCAGACATTCAGTTGTACAAATAGATAAGAGTAGATAGATAGAGCAAAATGCGAACCACAGGGGCGGAGCTGGTCCAATCGGGTTCTTCCTCTTTGACGTCACAAGTCACAGTCTTTACCATACAAAATGGCAACACTGAAAAACGACACGATCCTTAATATTCGCCAAAGTCATGCATATTGAAGAGAGAATATTGGTGAGCAGAGTGAGTGACAGGATTAATACATATAATCTTAAAAAATTGACGACAATCACGCCCGGGGGTCAGGAATGGCTAGGGACCGACGCTTTTTATTTTCACCCCCGAATGCAGATCAGATGTGAACGTCATGGTCCATCGTGACCATTTTTTTCAAATGTATGTGTCGAATTTTACTTTTGGCTGTAGCACTAGTTGAACATTCAGTCGTGAGCTCGATAATATCCACAATGGCTACCGTACTCTGAGAAAATCTCACTTTTCGAAGTTTTTCAATGAACAGTGCATTTAGTACTACTGGAGGGTGGAATTACAAAGTCCCAGACAATGGGAACGTGGTCAGATAAAATAAAATACATCTCCAGCAAGACAAATTCAAAACGCGATTCTTACCGCCAACCGTATGTACGCGGGTTTTCCTCTGGAGCATGTTATTCTTCACTTTTTATAAAACCTTGGACAAGCATGGCATTAGCATGGTAAAATATGTAATGATCCATTTATTCAATATCTTAGCCTACCGGAGCTAGTGTTGAAAAGGGCTTTACGCTGAAGAGAGTATTGGCTGAAATTTGGTAGGAGGGCATACTATAAGGGAGACGCCGGTGCCTCGAGCGCTTATGTCATTTCCTAAGTCAAGGAAGACGGAGCAATAAAAGCACAAAGACAAGTTTGTGGGTCCCATGTCGATGGTAAATTGTTGTTTGGAGAGCATAAATCGTTTGCTGATTGAGGTGGTAACTATGTTGATGAACAGGCGACACCTCAAGTATAAGTTGTGTCTCTTTACAGATCTCAAGTACATCACGAAACATGCAACAGCAGAAACACGACACGAACGGAGATATGAGGGCTACGTCCATACCAGATTTCGAGAGAATTGTGTGAATATGTACCAGAAAGTGAGACTCGCAGCTAAATCTACACCCCGAAAAATTGGCGGACGAGTTGCGCGCGACATCTGTTAACTTTTTGCGACAACTGTCCAGCTTAAAATCAGGCAATCGTTGCGGGACCAATAGCAGCTACCTCTCAACGCCTATCAATGCAACCTTCCCTCTTATTTTTCTATTCCCCACGCTATTCTACTATTATTCTAATCTGATGACTGTTATATTCTACAAGATTCTCTGCTGAACACTATTCTGATGTCGATCTGCTGGATACCCCACGCTTACCAAGGCTCAAGCACTGTTCGCATTTCATTGTGTCTTTTTATTCTGCTGCTACTACATTCTACTTGTTATCCATTCAAACTCTGGCTTTTGTAACTCGTATTCCGTATTTG